ATAAGAGAGAGGGAACGCAGGCGTTTGTATCAACGTTACCTTGTTGTAGGCTTACATTAACAGTTTGCAATATGATAACATATTATTGGTAACTAGTCTTCTGGCTTGATCTGCCGTAAAAAAATTGTAGGTCCAAAGATGGGCCATTCTTCTGAATTCTGTATGATATTGCCGAACAATTCTCGTTCGCATTCTGACTCAAAATAATGCTTCATACAGCATTTTGCCTTAGAAACGCCTCCGTTTAGGAGCCGCTTCTTCATAAAAAGAAATTAGTTGATTCCGAAGTCGACAAGAGCACGTGCTACCAACATGATATCCGGATAAAGGCAGCCAAAACGGCATTAGAAAGGTCATCTGACTACTATCGGCAATCTTCACGCAACCATGTTCCCAGTTGTTCTCACTTGTGTTTGTGGCACTTGTGGACTGCTATTTTTCATGCTCAGTATCATCTTCCTTTTCCCTATCAATATCAGTCACATCAATGTACAAAAGTTTGTTTTGCTGAAATACAACCGCTACCGCCCGCTTCTTGAGTCCAACGTGACTTTGAGACTTTTGCTGAGTGGCTGTTGTTGTGACTGCCGGTTGCCTATAATTGGCTGCTACTAACTCTAAACGTAAACAAACATTTTAACTACAAACACTGGACTAATCTATTCACACTTGTGGATTAATATTGCGATCACCGGAGATCAGGAATACCAGGAAGTTAGAAATTTTCTTGGTGTGGTGGTTCAACGGAACTACGGAATCTCCTATTTTGAATTGTGAGTCATGATTTACTCGGATTTTATTCTTGTGACTTTGTACCTGGCTTACATTAGTAATTTGTTCTGTTCACCAGAGACTCCATAGGGCCGTTAACCACTACATGTTGCTTACGAACGGACCAACTTGGCGTCCGTGTTTGACGTCCACCTTCTACACACCAGTGTGCTTGAATGGGGAGATGGGACCTGATTAAACCGCGGTAATTTCTGGAACACATCAATACGAGGACAAAGGCTGTGCCGATTTACCTGACAAAAAGTAATCTGTATTTGGGCCTTTAAGCCAGTCTTGATAATAAGCCCGTTGATCCAAATGACAGATAAACTACTCAAAAATCATCAAAATTTCACCGGTATTACGCGTTTTGCCGTTATTAAAGCCATGGGAGCTGCACCAGGTTTTGGTGGGATAAAGCGTTTGGGAAACTACCCTGGTTAAACTACAGTGTCTATAAAACGGAAAGCTAGATGAGATCCAGCCATCTGATTCCCGTGCCATATCCGAAGTGTAGTAGCTCTTGAGTAACGTACAAAGGCAGTTGGCTGTCGCTTGTTTTGACATTGGATGTCTCCTTACAACAGACTACTGATTTGGTATGCATCGTTAACCTGTTTGAAACTTGTTAATCCACATTCAAGATTTTTAAACAAGAAATACAAATTTGAGGGGAAACAATGTTTACGTTATCCGGTACTGCACAGGTGCAGTATATATTTATTCCGATTTAGGAATTATACTACTTCGTTCGCACTGTATTAGGCAGAAAACCCACGACTAAAGGTTGCATTTAACAAACAATAGGTACCTGGTGGGTTGGAAACAAGGCTTAGTTTACTTAGACGTGAAAGACGAATTTGTTTGATAAATCCTAGTTCCTTAAGATGGTACCAGTTGGCGCGACTTCACCGTTGAATTGACAGGCAACTTTGGAACCTGGTGGGGCTATGTTGAAAACAAGAAAACAGCTATGAAGTTGTCCGACCTAATGGCATAATTTCTGTTACTGCGTCTTTTGGTTTGCCCATCACAACGCTGCTGATAGAAGCAGACACTTCTGGCTGCCGTTTCTAACATAGTTCCTCTAGAGAAATGAGGCATTTAGAGTAAATTAAGTTATCGAATGATTAAACACGACTTGCTTATTTACTGTTGCCTCATGAACTAGTTCAAACTATCAAATGAGTCGTCTCAGAATTTAAATATATGGAATGATTTTTTCACCAGTGCATTTTCGTGGCTCAGTTGATGACGGTGGTTATATAAGCTCTTAGATTTTCTGTTTTTTGATGACGTCGTTACATGAAAAATCCTAATGCATTGTTAAATTGACGTGTTTAGGATTATTCTTTCAATTGCAGCGGGGTATGCTGGGCGCGTTACACGTGAACTTTCTGAGCCAATACGTGAGTATTTCTTACTGGAATATCATTAGACTCGACATTTCAGCCAGAAGCTCAATCGCTTCCCACTTAATTGACACCGAGCACGTGATCAATCCGAGCGAGTCGTTCCATGTCATTTACCGTGTACCCAATAGACTGCTAGTATCGATCCAGAGGCATCGCTTGAATTCAGCCAAGGTAGTGTGCTATCAAAAACGCTTCGTACGAATGCTCAATCTGCCTTAGTCATGTGACACGAATCAACCGACCAAGTCAATCAATGGAGCTCTAGATTATGTCACACAGCATTGGATGGGATGTGGGGCACAGACAACCAATCGTTTGTGTTTCCACGATTTACATTTCACTAACCAATGTTTGCTGTGTATTTCATGTTTCACTCATATTTTAACCATTAGATATGTACCGGCTTGATGACGAGATGTTCGTCACTGTATTCATTCATTTATTTCATCACGTTCTACTCCGTTTCATTCTCGGTCCTAGTATGAATGACGTGTGGTTCCCCTATTTGTTGTGAAACCGATAAACTGATGTCGGTTAAGATGACAGTCAATCTGTGCCGGTTTTCTGTTTAACACAATAACTCATTGATGACTAACAAACGCATAACCACCTAATTACCGATGAGCAAAACTCTGAATTTGCACATGACATGTTGTGGCCACACAAAAGATATTTAGGTACCTCAAAATCTTGACAGACTCCTTCATAAGGTCCACGATTTACTGTTTGTTTGAAGCATGCTGTCATCTCCTGTCCTCTTGAAGGTGCTTTTGTTGGATGAGGTCATTAGGATTCTTGATCGAATCCGCTAACGGTATCTCACACTGACATACTACTTAGATGTGATATTCCCATTGATACAGGTGACCTCATAAGTAGGATTCCATTTATTCTTCTGAAAGCCAGATTCCCTCCTTGAGGTCATATATTTGTCAAAATGCGGTATTTTATCTGTCAGAAAAATGAGATGATTGAACAAAACTCGCTAACTATATGAAACCACCTTTATTCTGTTAAATGAGTCTGGTCAGTTGATTTTGAGTGGCTAGGTTTTTGAGCAATCTATTTATCTGCATTCTTAGCCGCTATGTGTATGTGAGTCCAACAGAATTCAGATGGGCCTGTTGTGAATTGTCCCAGCCCTGTATAGAGTCCCTTAGGGGACAGATAAAATTCGCTCTTTCCCCGAGATAGTCTAGGCTAATGAAGAAACAAAGAAACGGTGAAATTCTCCGGACAGGCAAAGTGACCTCCTGTCAATATGCCATCAAGATGCGGCTTCTGTTGTAGAATAACTAGAATTCAAAATTTCTGAGCACTTTTTTCATAGAACGTTCTTGATGTATTTATCAGTGCCATTTCAATAGACACTAAGTCGTTAAAATCGTTCGCCTTGAATGAGTAGCTAAATTTTTTTGATGATTTCAATAAGACCATGCGTTGGCTGCAGACAACTATTTGTAAAGTGCAGACTGAATATTGCACAATAATAGGGAGTAATATTGTCACCAAATCCGAAGATTTTGTCAAACTCCAAGTTAATGTTGATCAAGAGAAAGCTATCGGCTTCTCTAACTTCCTGGAATTTGGATATGGCCTTAGCGGTTTTCGAACTCCCATAATATGCTTTTTGTTTGTTGATAAATATGTGGATTAAGGATAGTAGATTAGTAAACTCAGTGATACTATTGTAACGGCGGATACTACTGATGCGGCATGCGAGTAGTGTCTTCCCGTAAATCCGTTTGCATTCGAGTAACATTCAATGAATATCCAGAAAAGTTCAAGAAGGCGCGTTCAAAAAGAAAATGAATATTCAGTTTTTGTGAACAACTAGCATTTGAGAGTTTTGCTCCCCTGTTCAATAGTCTGCAACTTTCCAGTTGGTGTTTCACTAATAAACAACACCGCAGCGAAGGCTTCATTCCTTTCACTATCACCAAACAGCTTACTACGTGGAACGACAGATATCTTCATTACTGCTTATAACCAGATGCACCCAACGTACTAGGTTTTTGGCCTGATTGGCTCGAGGATGTCTACGCTCGCTCTGCTTAGGGAAAATTTGGACAAGTTAAAACAATGTCCGAAATCCTCAGTCTTAAAGTAACCATAAAGCAAACTTAGCAGCTAAATTCGCCTGCCCGGGATTCCCCATTTCTTGACTGGTTTACTTATCATCTTTCCATGTTACATTCGGTTCGATCGTTGTACTTTACTGAGTGTTCACCTTGGGAAATCAGAAGACCACGTCACGAAACTGCCCTTTCAGCTGATCTGTTGTGTCCTTGGAAAACGTGGAAGAGTTTTATGATGTAAGAACATTGGCCGAGGAACATGGAAATGCAACCAGAATGATACCACATGAGAGTTGTCTTCCGAATTGAAAACGAAATGCAACCGAGTAATGGGGACTGTGCATGATGAATCAGGCAGAATCTAGAGTATAATACCAGTTTACGTTGATACTTTTCTGTTGAGGTCATTATCACGTTTTTATTAGTCCACTATGCAGAATGATATTTTTTGTCACTAAATTTCAGGCGAAAAAAGTCTATCCGTTATAATATGACATGCTCTCATTTTGTGGCTGTATTTCGTGCTATATGGCAGATTTACAGAGCGCAAGGTGATTTCTACCCAAAAAAGACCACTTCAGGCTTTTCTCGAGCAGTTTGTCTGTAAAAATATGACCGTTACTTGCTTGAGAGCTCTAAACATCCACCAATGACGTTTTCCAGGTACCGACGGTTTGCAATAGTGTCAGGCAAACTGAGTTGTTTGTTAAATGTTTAGATGCTATTGCACTTACTTATGGGAGCTCTTTTTGGAGGGTCACCCAGAAGTTCATTCCACATGGTTTGTAGATCCTTGTCAGTGTTCCAGGTGCGATCGGCAACGGTTTCCACTGAGGAAAAATATAATGATTGAAGGAAGAACAAGCATTACAAATTGAATATTGGCTATTGTGTTATAGGCAAATGAGTACGTTTCGTCAAAGGAATGCTATAACCTAAATTTGAAAACACGTACATGAAGCATGTGACTTTTTCAGCAAGTCAGAATAACGTTGCTGCAAAAAAATCCGGTTGCTTTCCTAGAAGCGTATAAATTTCTATCCAGGTGTTATGTCGCACGGTGGTTTAGAAAATATACACACAAGCTTTTACTGTTGATATTCAAAAGTTAATCGACCATCTGATTGCGAGATGTACGAGACAGAACTTATCATTTCATACTACGCGTGCTTTGAAGATACGGTGTTTTTAACAATCATGACGATAATTATTAGACAGAACAACGAATGAATGATACCGCTGATGGCTCACTGCCCTACAAACTCTTGACGGGCTGGACACTTTTGCGGAATACACTTTCCAAGGCACACTTTTCTATCAAATGCCACAAATTAGGGTGTTAAATCTAGAAAAATCTAGAAAAATCAAAAACAATCAGTAACCATGTAGAAATGCAGAACGGCATTTTCGGGATTTCTCGAAAGATATTGAGAGCTGATTTGGATAAGTAGACTCTGGCTGGCTCCGATCTATTACACTGTTGGTGGGACTTTGGTAACTAAATTTATTATTTATTATCGCGAGCAATGAGACTCGTGCATCCATGTTTACACTATATTAATTCATTACGTTGCCATCATTGAACCCAGTTGACGGAATACGTTTGGACTGCATGGCGAAGATACACAGGGTCACTTGATTCTAACATGAGTCGAAGATGGTATGGTACATTCTGCCTGATTTGGTGAAGTTGCTGCTGGCCGGTGATCTGAAGACAATCACCTGGTTCACTCATATAAAGCTCGGACTAACGGTCATAAAACTACCAACCGTGTGCTGTATGCATGCAAATGTTTGTAAAATAATCAGATTTACCTCTAGTGTTAGCATCAGGATCATCTCATCCGGTCATCAGCTACTTAAGCAATGACAATATGTTATTTTTGAATTATGATAAGCTTCCCTATAATGTAAGAGGCAATATGTCCCAATGGATGCACACACCTCTCGACACGAAACCAAGTCCGACCTTAATTGTAACATTAGAAGCGATCCTGAACTCACGACGTTGCTGAAAACACTTTGACAACTCAGGTCACGCTTCGCTCTTCATGTGGCTCAGGGCAAGCAGCTAAATTTATACGGAAATCATACCCGATTGGTTGATTGGAGAAAGACAGCAACATCCCTGTCGACAGTGATGCTTCGGTACAATACGATCACAAACTTTCCAGGTGAAAAGATAAGTGTGGATGAAGGAGTGGGAAAAGTGCTGCCCTATTTGAACGCTTAATCAGAAAATCTGGAGAAAAATCGACAGGGCAATAACCACGGACACCGATTAACCGTTATATCTTGCTACAACTCCAGCTTAGCGCTTGAATCAAATATACATAAGCTCTCTTTAATCTCTTTCACGCCCTTGTGTCAAGTGGTACGTTGTCAACCTTGTGGTTTTTACCATTATTCAGGAGGCAGGAATAACAGCTCTCGTCTCGGTAGGGAATGTTTCGGCTTGCGTCGCACTTCACCGAGCTACACCAGTTGATGTTCAACTTGGCGTCTAACTGCCATGTCATCAGAAGTAAGCAAGAGGATTGGGATACTATAAGGTTGCCCAAGCCTGGACAGCGGAAGTCGAGAGGCAGAGGTCGAGTTCGAACCACGGACCCTCCAGCCAGTAAATTCGCGCTCTGAGCAATCTCGCCACATGACTGATGGTGCATGAAAGTGCACGTTCTAAAGCATGACTTTACGGTTTGAAGATACAGAACGCATGCTGAAAGATGATATGCTATTGGTCATTTCGGTCAGCAGGATTTGTACTTCGCTCAAAACTTAAGAGGAGGTGATCTGCTTACTTCAGATCGACGAAATTCTCATCAGTAATGATTTGAACACTCAGGTTTTGAATGCTTTCCGGGGTTCAATTCATTATTTCACTACTGGCGAAGTTGAACAAGAACGAAGGAATTCAAGACTCTGGTTGGGTGCAATCTTCTGTAATGAAGTTATTCTTGGGCTCGGAATATACTCTCACAAGCCCAGAACTACGTGGACACAGGGACTGGATTATGATGAGTAAGGTGTCTTGCGTTTGCGTACGTTTTGCCTGTGGATGAAGTGTTTACTGGAAGCAAAATTTTCCGGTTCAACATGTTTTTTTTTACAACCCGAAGTTGCGTATACATACAAAAGTGAATTATCACTATTTTCTCACCTTTATCCTTCATCAGTTCATCGGTCGAATGGAACAATCGAAAGAAATCGGTATAGGCTTCCAGGGAAACGAGTGTCGTCCTTGGCCAAAGGATAGATTCGGTTTGATCTGTTTTCGGTGAAAATGGAGTGAGAAATTTGAGTTTTTCTAGCTGCAATCACTTTGGACGAAGCACTGTTTTGATTACATGCAAGACTGAAGTCGCATTGAAGGCCGTCTTGTAATACAATCACTCTATTTACTAAGATGCACGTACGTAATTCTCATATTACATAAGAAAACCCATGGTGCTGCCCCAATGTTTGACACATTTTTCCCCACATTGTAGCCTTTTCTGCGCAAATCCATAAAAGTGTCGTAAAAACACTTCCTTGTCCCAAGGGAATGTAGACTGTGCAAAATTGAGATTCTACCTCTTGGGGAAAAGATACTTTTTAGGTCATAAAAGCTTCGAGTTAACTATCAAAGAGATAATCTCTCTTCTAAAATGGCATTCACTGCGCCAGCTGTGGTCGAAAAAGTAGACAGCGTGCTTCATGCAACATTATTTCTCCAGCCCGTCGTCCCCTCGAGGGTGTCTGGGTAATACAAATAAGAGCGCATCATATTAATTAGTTTTTGTGAGTAGCGGGGTATGTCCCCTCGAGGGTGTCTGGGTAATACAAAAAAGAGCGTATCATAATACTTAGTTTTTTTGAATAGCGGAGTAGTTGAACGATCGTTTATGAACAGCCAAGTACAACAATTGCACTCCTCGTGCTTTTCACTCCATTTTAGAATTCAATGGATCTTCTTGATCATTTTCAACAACATTAAAGCAGATTTATGGCTCTGGACGATGTCCCCGTTAACTCTATTTTTCGAGAACACAGAGTATGATGAATCTGTTACTGTGATGGCTGAAGGCTGTTTTGCAATGCTAAATGTTTCCTCTGTAACATGTCGCATGTGAATAGACCAAAAGGCGTGTAACTGCGCTTGAATTTTATCAAGTGTCTCATTTGCCATGTGGAAGTTTCATGTAGTATGAAAATTTGTAGAACTGCAAGGATCTGTTCATTGCTAGGCTCTAATATAGGGTTATTGGGCCTATTGAGTGAGACAGCTACCATTTTGCAAGGCGCTTCCCATACTTCAATTTGCGCTTCTAGAGTTGAATTATTCTTCCTTAAACTGATGTATTATACTCATCACGTCATGATCTGTGTTAAAAACGTGGACAAACGTGCATTTCCTCCCGATCGCCTGAAGAATGCAGAGTATCTGTGATTTATCGGAGTCCAGTCGAAAAGGTCTGCATGCAGGATTCTAGTTAAAGTAGTCTAGGAAACAAGTCCAATATCTAGGATCCACACACACTGACAAACAAATAGACACGTCGGTAATTGTTGTTAGTGTGCCGTCCCAAGGTTGTCGGCCAAATTTAAGGCAGATGAATTAAGGGATCTATTCACAAGTTTGCGGTCATGTAAGAGCTGTCAGTCCAGCTATCCAGAGATTAGCAGTTGAGCTCGTTTTTCAGTGGAAAGTAACGTTGCAATCCAATTAAGTTCACGAGAGTATATGATATCAGTTTGCTGACATTAAAGAACTGTCATTCGTAGCTTGCTCAACAGTAAATGTGACCAGAAAAATTACCAGTTCCCTAGCTGACACACAAGATAACATTTGTTGCATAAACTTACCAAAATAAGCACCCTTTAGGTTGTGAAGCAATCGATGGGAAACAGCAAGCAACTGCTTTGTTTGCTCAAGTTTTCTGCTCAGGTCACCGCTTGGATCTACTAAAAAGATTGATAGACAGAAACGTGTCACAAATAGAGAAAAGCACGAGTAACACACCACAAATTCACATTCACACTACTCTCGCCTAATGAATTTGACTTGCGTTTTACTCCCTTTTGAGCTCATCAGCATAAGATATCCCTTGCCAGACTTTCGGTTTGCCAACAACGCTTGCACGTTTATCTTTGAGTCTGGCGAACGTGTTCACGTTTGAGACGTGTGAGTGATTTCCAACACTTCATCTTTTGGGAATTAGAAATTTGAGTAAGCCCAGCGAGCTAGACGTTTTCGGTAACACGCCTGTGAGACTCCCGGGGCTCGAACATTGGTAAGGCAAAACATATGCTCTGCTAATGATCCGTAACGAAAGCCAACTCAAGTCCACTGCTTGCACAGTTTGGCGAAGGCTCACCAGGACAGTTGCATTAGGATAGAAGGAGGTCTTTCAAAAGTGCGTGGCGTTGATTTGAATTCCACATAAAGCCACCAGAAACATCATGCGTGTTTTTTCCGATATTCTATTCCCTGTTTTTAGCCTCCGATTGAGGAATTGATCTTGGCAACAGGTGGGTAGGATTGGTCACAGTACACATGACAAGTCTATCCCGACCAGTCATGTGTACTCATCTCTCGGTCAGCTACTCTGACCGGCTGACATGAAATCTGGTAGAAAAATCTCGAATAGAACACGCCTTTAAACTATTTTCTTTTGAAGGATAGATCCGTTTTCTCGAGAAGAAAAATTAACAGTTGAAACTGGATGAAATTTGAAAGTCTTCATTTTCCGGGCTACTAAACCTTTTGGGGTATGGGGTAGTAGATTATAAAGGAGAATAAAAGCTTTTGCTTGGTGAAAAACACCCTCTGTAACAAAACGTTCAACTCTTTCGCGTTTTAGGGTAATGTAATGCCTAAAATTGCAGGATGGGAGGGCAGTTCACCGAAAACTGCGAACATCCGGGAGGTGAATAGTTCAAATGTCTGTTGGCTTTGAAGTCGGTGTTTCGCCATTCAGCTAAACAACTACGGGCATGAAGTTACAAATTGAGACTTATCCAGGCTAATTATCAAGTTCATGGAACAAACCAGCAGAAACCAGGTGAAAAACCCATCCAAAGTATCACTTTCAACAAAAAACACAATCAAACCTTCCTTTCACCGTCCAAACTTGATACTGTGAGCTTAAGTCAAATGCAAACCAAACGGCTAGGTTTGAGTTTCCTCAGTAAAAATGTGCTTTTCACTGACTGTGTCTGAAGTAAAACTCTTGAAGTGTGACACTCAAGGTAACTGGATTACGGTTACTTTATCTGTGGTCATTGAAGTCACCCGAAACAACGTACTTCTAAAGGTGCACCTGTTCACACCCGTCGGGTGTCTGGGCTTCGCCTTTAAAAACAGTTAGAATGTTTATCAATGATAAAAAGAAACAGCTCAATAGCGTTCCGGAATCAGCCTAAATCCTCCTAATTTATCCCAAGAGGATTATCCAGATATGAGTTTTGTGCGACGCGCCCAAGTTGCGCATGAGATGATTCTCAGCAAGGGGTAATATCTATACAGAGTTATTCAAATTTTTAATGTAGATCAAAACCATCGGCGAAACAAAATACCCGTTGAAAATTCCCAAAATTCCTTCACATCACCGAAAACAACAGGTAACAACAACAATAACAGGTAACACGTTTAGACTGTGCACAAGCGTGATGGGCACTCCGTCGTCGAAATATGAGTCACAATATATCTTATCTAAGTGCAAGTTTATCTCACTGTTTGTCGGTCACTCGACGTTGAACGGTTTGGTATTTCTCTAGACCAAACCCCTTTCTTGCTTCAACCCGTTGTTTTTGCGTCTGCCCCACGGACTTGACATTCAGCAACAATATTTCAAGAACTTTTGAATTGTCGGACCAACAATGACGATTATTTGTGCGCACCACTTTCCTTACCACATGCTATGCGCGCAAGTTTGTCGCTAATTGAGATCGATTTACCATTCTCTCCGAGCTTCTTTTAGGCTTGCACCAATTCGTGCAAAAAATATGGACAAAATTCCCACAATTCGATGTTTTTATCCCTTCCCTACTTGTTTCCTGGTCTACGCGTATTAGGGTATTTGATTGGTTAATCTCAAGACATCGTAATTTTTGGCTCGCGGTTTCGCGAGTCAATCTATTATACATCAAGTATTACAAAGTTTTCAACTATCAATCAGGAGGTCGAGAAGTTAAAATCCCTTGTTTTTTTTGCGATGCGATACGTCAAGTATTCCCAATAAAGATGAAAACGTTGTGCGTTACCTCTTGGTCTTTCAGGTATGGCGTTTCTATGTAGCGTGGATGCCACTCAGTTGTGGCTGGACGTGGCACGGGGGTCGTTTATGAAGACTTCGAATTAATGAGAAATATTTTATGACTATTATCTTGGTGATAGTCTTCAAAGACTGCCCTTCCTGACCACTATGGTTAGACCAAATGAGACCTCTAGCAAAGTAGATAGAACCGTGCGCCACTGTGCATACAATGTGGTGTTTACAAGCCATTTAAAACCGAGTAAATAATGATTGGAAAAAAAGCGACGGCAGTTCAAAGTAGGTAAAACCGTGCGCCATTGTGCATACAACGTAGTGTTTAAAAGCCATTTAAAACCGAGTAAATAAAGATTGGAAAAAGAGAGAGGGCAGTTCTGGGCCCCTGCATAACTGAAAAGCCTTGAGGGATTAAAGATCTCGGGACGCAGTTTGTGTGCCGGACGGACCAGTGCTCTACGCCATTCATGAGGTACGCATCGTTTGTTGGATTGTGACGACCATAGACTGTAAGTCCCAGGAATATTGCACAACTTGCATTTTGTAGAGACCAGGGTGACTGTGAAACACTACCCTTCATGTGGACGACGCCTAACTTCAGCAAAGTGTGCTCGAATTTTTATCGTAAGGTCCTATGGTTTGATCACGTGATATCAAGTTGCAAGGCGCCAACAGACAAAGCGCTATGCACGCAAACCTGCCAATTTAGTTAATGCATCATTCATGGAAAATATTTACTTGAGTTAATACGTTTGTAAATTCTTAGCACGCTGTAAATCAGTGAAGAATGTAACGCTTGAGAAGGGGTAAGTCCAGCGTTGCGACCACGGTCTGCGAACGCGACGTATTAGTCTTTGGCCTCAGCAGTAATTATTGGAGAGTTAGCAATGTTGTGGAATGTAGGTAGCTCGGGTGCGCTGTTTGGTTGTTGGTTTGTTCGCCGAGCTTGGTAGTTGGATTGCAAACGTTTCATCACCAATCGAGGTGACATCGTCAGTGCAGGGTTGAGTGGGTGAATTCCTCCTCTTCTGCCTGTGATTATATAGCTTCTAAACAGTATCTGGTAGTTCTGGAAACGGTCATCGTGTAGTTTGATTGGTCTTCTGTGAATCTGACGTGGTCTCAATCTCCTGTGTCTGGTTGGTTCGTTGGGTGCATTCAATTCGGCAGTTCTTTATGTGGTTGTCATGCTGTGATTCGGTCGTTTCCTTCTTGCTTTGTGGGTTTTGCTCATTTGATTGGCCTTCTGTTTTTCGTGATTGTCTTCCTTTGACCCAATTAGTCCGTTGGTTGCCGTTAGGTTTCTTAGCTCCGAGTCCCGTGACCGTGTGGTTCTTTCGCTCGTAACGGCTGATAGACTGGGTCAATGTCGATGTGTTTATTGATCGATTTTTGTGTGGAGTACCACGCCTCGGCAAATTCTCGCTCCCGTTTTGTTCTTGCGTGAGCGAGTATTTGAACATTGTCCCAATTGAACGTGTGTCCTTCTCTGTCTTCGTGGATTGAGACGAGTGACATTGGGTCATGTCTTCTGCCAGGCCGGATATTTGCTGACAACTATGACGTGGAACGGAGTAAACTTTTTATTGACAATCACAGACCCGGGATGGGACCAAGCAAAGGTCGACAACATCTGAATGTCCATAGCTTGTCAAGATGGGAAGTAAGACTGACTCGAATATATGGTGGTGGAAAAATCATCGTCATTATTTTGACTAAAAGCTCACAAAGATTTTGAGGCATCTTTATTTGATACTTGCGGTACTACAGTTCAGCGGGTGCTGTTTCTTTTTAGGCATGACTGGACACGGAACGCAATCGACATGTTACCTTCACTATAACTGAGTATAATTTTACTATAATTTTAACCAGAATCCCTGGTGATTGTGCCGGATTCATGATGATATTTGCAGACAACAATAAAAATTTCCTTGCTCCAAATGAAACAAAATTGTCTGAGTTCACACTAGAACGAGTGTCTAATAATTTTGTCATACATGCCCACGTAGACAAAAACGTGTATGACCCCATGCACGCCTGGGTCAAAGTTGGTTTTCAGACACTTTAAGAAACCAAACTCTCTTTTGATTTCACATATTGAGTAACGCCCGCATCTGTGAGACAAAAAGTAGGTTAGCTAGGCTTGTCATCAGTCAGTAAAGGTAACCTTCACTAACAAGTTGCAATTGAATATGGAGATGAGTCTTCAGTTTGACAGGATTATATCAACTAACAAAACAGAATCAGCAGCAGCGTGAATTCACCTATCACTATATAACTATTGTTACAAGAAGTTCATTAACGTGGCGTAATGCCTGTCTGCCTCTTCATGCGCATCATGATAGCTTCTTGCAGCCTAACGACAAACTGGTTTGTTTGACCTATTTAAGCATTACTTTTTAACATGAGGCAGATGTAGTCAAAATGTTGGGGAATTATGAAACGGGAATACCAGTTTCTTCACTTCTAGGTAATCTTGTAAACCAGAGTTATTTTTTTAATTTGCTCCTTTTCTTCAGAAAACACCATAAACTATTCACTATTCTTCAAAGATGTGTGTGCCATGACGACGGTCTAATTTTTTATCTTTTACTTTTTGCACGAATGACACCCAATTGTCTTACTTTGTTACCATTCCGATTGAAAACTCAACTGAAAACCCAATTAAAAAAGTCATGTTACTGAAAAGACCCATTGTAAGTTGAAATCCCCTTTTAGCTTAATGGTTCAAAACGGCCTCTGATGAGGTTAAGGGATGGGTCCGGCTTCTGCCAGACGTGCCTACCATCATGCAACCATAATTCCTGCATTTATATGGCTGACAAAAATATAATGTTTTGGGCATAACCCGAAAGCCTTTGTTTTTGGGTAGTGCAGATTAGGGCAGTCAAGAGCCTTGGAAAAATATCTTCTGTACATGTGGAATTACTTATTCCACCATCGAGCGATTGATGGGTTTCTGTCGGGTTCAACAGAGGATAGCCAAAGCGTATTAGGACTAATAGCTAGTGGGCAGATGCGCTTACTAAATCAAGCGGAACACTGTTGCATACATGCCATTTAGTGGACTCTGGGTTGAGATTGCCAGATATGGTTAGTTTGCATTTGAAGAAAATCGGAGATATACGATTTCTCAACCATGAAGGCGGTAGCTCGGAGACCGGAACGACATTCGGGAGAACGACTTCACAATGAGGCCACAATGAGATTAGTAATTATGGTTTAAGCAAGGCTTTCCTTCAAATAGTTTGACATTTGTCCAATTGTGAATGGTCACATTTCTTGATTGATACCTAAGTTAACTAAACGTGATCCTCATGAAGCAGCGTGACGGAAGAACAATGGACCAAGCAATTTAAATATCAGCACTGAAATTCCTAGCTATAGATCCCAAAAACGTTCAAAGCTACTGCATATTTCACAGTTACTGAGACCAGTTTATCATTTTTCTAAAGCTTTTGAGGCACAAACCGAAAAAATCGCCAGTCATTTGTGGCAGTGAGCATCAATTCGTTTCAGGCACTCCTTCGACAATCGACAGTTCCTTGTAAGAGGAAGCTGTATGATCAACACCACTCGTGCGACTCTTAAACGCTTACTGTTGCCAGGTGTCATGCCCCCCAAATGAAGCCCGTTGGCTGTAGTAATGTTCTTTGCTCAAGTGGAGAAAGAATCGGTGGTTGAGGTTGGACCACGGACCCTTTGGTTGGTAAGTTCCTTCTCAACGACCGAGTGATCTCGAATTTCCAGATTTACAAAGTATTCACTAATAAACTAGCGAAGGTTTATGTAATTTCGGTTGACTAAGGTAGCGTGAAAACGCAGCAAAAACAGCTAATGTCTAGGTCTCTGGAATGCGGTGACATAATCACATGTTTTATTCGTGCACTCAGATAACTCACACTGGTGCACAAGGTTAATCCACCCTACGTAGTCAAATATGTTGACAACGATGGACTTGATGATACTTCTTGCCGTTGCGTAAAAGTTGTCCGCGGTTGCTGTTGAGGAATATGCTGAAAAAAAGAAAGTAACCGTTTACAAATTCATCTGTGACGAGGTATAAGTACTTGGAGAACCGACGAAATGCCTGAAAGCAATGATTTGTTTTCATGTTAACTTGAAGACCACAAAAATCATCTTGATTTTTTTGGATATGACTGGCTTTCTCACAGGCAGGACAATTTTTTGTGCTTTTGGTTTAGCCTGAAAATAACAAGACTGTTTCTGCATACCATGGCTATCTAGATAAAGCTACCAAAATAGGCTTCTGGCCCTCAGTAAAGAGGGTTTCCGTTCTAAATGATTTTGTCCTGAAATTATGGGTAACGTTTAACGCTGAAAAAACGCCCCTGGTATGTGGCTTCCATCCCGATAAACCTGAATTAGAGGGTTACTTTATTTTAAGCCATTTTGCCAAGTCAAACTGTCATTAAATGCTGTGTGAAGCGGAAACAAATAGTCAAACCTTAGTTCAAAGGGAGTGAATTGCTTCTCAATGGGCTGAAATTGAGAGCACACAGACAGTTGAAATAGGTAAACCACAATCATTTCAAGTAAACGTGCCAAAAGGTTTGCCAGTGGAAATCACAAAATGCTATTATCAGAAAATTGCCCATAAAATATCCAAAATGCAATTGAATAAGTTTCTGTAGAAAAATCACATCATTCACAACCTTCAACTACCTGACGTCAATGATGCCTGTTCCAGAATCGCTTCAATTTCAGTTTTCAGAATTTCAAGATGTTCAAAGACTTTTTCAAAGATTGTTTTCCGAATATCTGTTTGGGGTAGATAAGCAGAAGCTGTTCCATATTAATATACAAAATGCAAAAATATTTTTTTTGGAAATTTCACTAAAGGCCTCCTCAAAATGCTTTTAGGAATAGTCTCAACCGGTAGATTTTTAAATATATTCATTAGTTCGGTTAATGTAAACCGCAATGATACAAGAAATTATTGGCTGTTCTGGATTTTGCGGGATACTTCAAAGTAGTTTTGTTTTGTTACAATGGGGATAAACTAAGAAAGGATGCAGTGGGCCTTCTTTCTCCCAAACAGCAAGATACTCATGTCCCGAGAAATGAAGCGTGTGATTTTCTGGTTTAAGCACTTAAACATTTTCGAATTTTCCGACGTGATGTTTTAAGTATGCCCAGTGTGCGCTAGTGGGGCAGTTTTGTCATGCTCACCTGTTAAATATGTGAAGTTGAAATTCCGGATCAGCCAAGATTATCCACTGCTGATGAGCCTCAATGTGAGCGTAATTCAACTCCACTGTTTCCCTTTCTTGCTGTGCACTCATCAGATAAGTAACGCCAGGACGGAATGATAATTTTCAAGATACTGATGTTAAATTTATTTCTAAGAATCTCCCGATCGCCTGCAACGCGTAGTGTAAGACCAATTTATTGAGGTATTCTATAAATGGATTATCAAACACATCATGTGGTTATGAGGCCACAAGAACAGCAACATACTAAGCACACTTATGCGTAATTTCTGGTCAAGACGTAAAACACCCAGTCAAACAGTTTATAGTGCATGATAGCCTTTGAAAAGCATCTTTTTCCAATTATTTTACGCAAGAATAGGCATGTAGTATTTAAAACATAAATGACAAGCACTCTCCTTCTAGTGAAATTTCTCTTGGAGGAGGGTGAAAGTTATTCTTTAGTATGACTAGCATTTCTAGAGTACGCGTTTCTGAGGAATATTGCGCACAAGGTGTAATGCGATCAACATTATATTCCTTCTAAAAGACCTTTCCCTATGGCACGCTTATGTCTTGCTGGCCTCCTAGTAGTAAAGATGGCATAAAAGATCAAGTGACGAATAACTGGTAAGTGGAATGGAAGACTTCTGAGGAGTAAACGCACCGATAGTGTCACTAAGGCTCACGGAGAGTTGCTTCAAAATTTTTAACCATACATCGAGGCTGATGGACAGATTCTGAAGCTGACGAATTTTCGGGACGAAGTCATAATCATCTAGAATAAAACAAGGTAAGTTAAGAATCGGTCAACAGGAAATCTAAGCAAGCAGTCAAAGATTACTCATCATGCACACCGTGGCAAGAAGTTCCTAAGCTGCGCTGTAGTGTGACGGCCGGGATTTAAATGAAAACAGTCTGGAATCGAATCGGTAATTTTTAACTGTAAACGTATTTAAGGATTATTGACCGAACCGGAGCTCAACAGTATTTTTCCCTTCCCGAATTTCTTAAGTTTATTATCTTGATTCTTTCTACTCGGAGAAAACTGCGCTCACTTTCAGAATGTGGTTTATTTATTTATACGTCCAAGAAGCGTGGATTGGCGCCGATCAGTGGTAGCCCGCGATTCACCATCTTTACAAAAACGGATTATTCGTTGCATGCCGAACAAAGTGAGAAGCTAGAGGAACGTCCCCCGGGTTGTAAGTTAGCTAGCAAAAGTCGCTGGTGAAAACACTTAGAGCTCAAAGTTGCTCTCATTTGGGACTTGCCGTGGTTTGGGCTACACATATTTTCAACTGAGTTATATAATTCCAGTTGGCGTGCTGTAGTGAATACCACTGCGAAGTATCTCGGTGGGCGAATTAATTAGATAACCAAAAGAATCGCCAAAACGATTGATGGCGGAATCACTATGCTTTGCACGAAAGCAGAAAAACCCGGACCCGTGAGAGCTGGTCACACCAATCGTCAGTTATTCATGGTCGACCACTGGCCTAGTGTTTGCCAGTTCGAAACTGGAAGTTTTGTGGGGTGCAATTCCTGTAGGAATGTAACATCTCGACGGTGTTTCTCGGCTCTTCAGAATAGGTTAACATTGCCTACAACGCATAACGGAAAATTCTTAAATCTTTTCACTCTCATCTATCTAAACATGTTTCAGATAAATAATTTTTTCATAAAGACGAGTGAAACTTCCATGTGAGAGGTCATCATTCGAAGAGCTAGTCAACGTACTGCCACGTGATCCCGTGTTCGCAGATAGAGGTGACTTGGGGCTATGTTCTTTCTAAGTTTGATCAACCATTCGTGGCCAAAATGGTAGGGTCTTAAACTACTAGCAGGGAGGTTGTAGGCTGAAAGTTCCCTGCGGTTTTGTGAGATGCGCACTGTTGGTTCCCCCCCGAAGACCCTTTTACTGTGTTTCTTGGTTTTTAGGCACCCCCTTACTTTACTGACTGCTTAGAATCTTAGTTGACAAATATTTTTGCCAGATAAATAAATCTACACTCATGTTACAAATATGAGGTTTGGAAGATAGCGGTGGGCCAAGTTCTCATCAAAAAGAGACAGACTTAACTTTCACTGCGTTCCGGAATAGAAAATAATTTAGTTTGTTAGTTTTTCACTTGCTGCTTTAAACGCTGATGTCATGCTGTCGATGATGATGACGATGACGGAGTTCCCGTTAGGATAGTTTTCCCCAAACACGAAGCAATGACATAGGGTGGTTTCTGGTGTGTGCGTTCGTTACAAAACGTACAGAGCTTCTGCGTAAATATATAGGTTGACTACAGGGCCAAATATGGTCGTTCACTTGTTCGTACTGTACAGCCAATGGCGGTGTTCCGGTCGCCCCACTCTACTGGTGGTATTGCTAAGCTGTGTTTGGTGTGATCCACTAATGCATCTGCTATCCAGAACGTGTGGTACCTATGATGATCTTGGGGGTACGTCATTCTCTGCACATGTTTTTTCATCTCTGGGTGCGTCCTGACAGGCAGCAGGTAGCGCACCACTTCAATGAGTCATAAGTGGGTGCATCTGGTCGGCAGTTTGTATGAGCCGCTTTGTGATCCTTTTCTGACCTAGAAAATAGTTCCATAAAACCAGTGGATTTGAGTCACGGAAAGATGAGGATGATGGTGTTGGGTCGCACAACAACACACTTGGGGCAAGTAGGTGTAATCACATTCTCTACTGAAGAAGAACGTGCTTTATTCGTACTTCGCAGTTGGTTTATGAGGATACTGTTTTGAAAGAATAAGCTGGAAATTTGTAGACCAGCTCTAATGAGAGTCTTTGTTTCTAGCTGTATATAGTAAGCAAAGTAGTTACCGACAAACCGTTTTAACTCACAGATACACTGACCATCTTCCATAAAATCTGTCGTCAATAACAGACTCTTCTTTTCGAAGGAGATATCTTTCAAAGCGTGACGGACGGCTTTCCACATTTTCCCTGCAAATGTTTGGAAAGTATGCTTATTACGAGATGACAAAATGTTGGGGAATACCGGCAGTCCCATTCTACAATGGAGCACAGCCAAATTTGATGGGTTTCGAATTTATCCTGGATGTTAGAGTAATTCACAATGATTGTCTGGGAAGCAACTGTGAAGTGACAATGATGCAGGTTCCTACTGAATACAATAGTCTTTTTAAGTATGTAAGTTTTGAGGTGTCATTGTCAGGGAGCTCATAATTAAAAGAACTATTAACACGGTCTCAATATTTTATAGAACGTTTATGGAAAATCTGTTTTACTGTGTTATAAAGTAATCGGATAAGACAGCTATACTGTATGCGTTTCAGATAAAACGAATTAACATATTGTATTTCCGAACGAGTCCACGTGACAGAGATGATCAAAATCTAAAAATTCTAATCAACATTAATTCAATGGAAAAATAATAGTTCCAATTACGGAAGTGTGCATTACTATATATTCCCTTTATAAGTGTACCATTTGCAAAATCGGTTGGCCTCGGGGATGGAAGCTGGCTTTCTAATACGAATGCACTTGATGTTCACGGAAAACGGACCTCCAGTTATCAGCAGTTTCTGTTCCATAACCTGATTGGTGTGACATCTCTCTTCTCTCGTCCCGGGAACTACTGAGCGGCTGGAATTTCGATTATTCTATGAGTATGCAATTTCACCGGCCCGTATATAAAATTGATAAAGTACCGTTTAAAATGATGATGCTTTCCACACAAAACTCTGGATTTGTTTTTTAAAAAATCAAAGCTTCATTACTTTGTTGTGTTGCAGTTTTAGTCAAACTTGACGTGCATTGGCTGCCAGAATCTCTACTCTTAGCAGCTACCTTTGGTAACCAAAGAGTATTGATAAGCATGTTTATTCCTAGCTTCGTCGTACCCATCTAATTGAAAAACACTAAGATCGGCTTTTTGAGACCACCCAAGCTGTAAATGTGGTGATTCTCGGATGCTATGCTGTCCCTACATCCTTTCAGTTTAATAAAACCGGTTGCTTGGACATTCATCCAAAGAGGGTAAGCAATGACCGAATTCCTTCTTACCACACGGTACAAGATATCTTATCTGTTTCTCACCCAAACATTCGCAGCAATGACCGAATTCCTTCTTACCACACGGCACGAGATATCTTATCTGTTTCTCTCCCAAACATTCGCAGAATAAACTCCAAAATGACCAGCGATTCGGAGTTTCAAAACAACGTCTTTTGTGCTCAAACTCGATCAGAAATTTCCAAACCTGTTTTACGCGAAGTCTATTTTAAAGACAGTTAGGAGTCGCTCGTGAACAGCGTTCAATGACCAGCCACAGAACCCTTTTTATGCCGACACTCTCGACATATACCACATATAACAATATTACCATGAAATGTTTGGTTTTAAATTAGACCACTTTTAAAAAAAATCACACCCAATATTAATGAATTTTAAGGAAAAACGGAAATTCTTTTTTTGGTTCTGTACGGTATTTTTCCTAACTACCTGTCTCTTATCTAAAATTTAACGGTACTTATGAGGCTAACTAGAATTTTTGAACAACCCAGTACTGATTTGTCCTTCAAACGGTCATCAGATAAGCTCGGTCCGTCAGTCAGATTTAGTTCCTAAACGCCGGGGGAAAGAGCAAACTATAATCCACTATATCTTCGTTTGATACATTGCACAAGGTTATTTTCACCTTTTGGCCAAGTTGTTCCAACGGCCTATGACGAAATTCCATCGACGTTGGTGTCTTTTAAGAAAGTCCTTCCAAAGCAACCCTCATAGATTACAGTGGTGGATGACCGCAGGAGAAAAAGTGCCGGCTAGCTGTTTAGGTGAATCTGTTTCATGGGATCACCGTGCTAGCAGGTGGACGAGAAAATCAGTTGGAGCATCCAGCTACCAATTTAGGGCAGTATACATGCTTCGCCGTCGAGACTTATCAGTAACTATTCGATCTAATATGACAAGCATACGTATTTCAATGAATTGTCGCCAGGTTGAAATTTAGGCACAATAAGATGAACGAACGCGTCTGACTGCAGGGTTGTTTCCTAAGGTAACTGAACTGGCTTTGCATTGCTTAGGCTGTTCATGTAAAAATACTATTTTAAGAAGATGAATTAGAAACTCATTCGAACGGTTGTTAGGAACTTGTCAATTCGTACTATCGCCGAGTTGCTCCTTGTGCCATACAGGACTGATTCAAACGCAACAGCCCAAAAAGTAGAATAGGCCGCCAAAATGTTGGGTTGTATCATCTCATTCTAAACGGTTCTTGTGATCGAGATTCATACAGTTTAAAAGCTTCCAGGGCACCTCAAAACAAAATAATGACATATTCATAGAAAGCATGCCCTTCCGATTTACTGTTAAGGCCTTAGACGATCAACAAAAGTCGTTCGTGTAGAATGGAGCCAGTAAAGTTTCTTCGTTGGTATGGTGCTATGGAGCGCGTAACCCAGGATAATAGCTCTGTATTGGAACCGGAAAATATTTTAAAGTGCCAAATATGATTAGTAGTCGCGCAGCAGTCATCACTTCACCGAAGCCTGTGAATAAGACAATCGAATAGCGCGGAGCGTAACGTGAGACTACGTCTAACCGATGTAAACTCAAAGGAGTAAGGACGGCTGGTATATATGCGGAGTCCTGTTAAGATCTATCAGCCAGGTTGTACGTGATAGCGCGACAATAGCCGTCAGCACCCAGAAACGAACTTTGATAAAAACCAAACTTCCTGTTTTACTGAGGCAGAAAGTCTGTGGTAAATGCGCGGGACACTAGGATAGCAAGGACTTTTCAACCGCCCGGTTGCCAGTCAGCATCTCCGGTAAAGAAACAATAAAGATACGGTACTTAAAACTGAGATTTCGCGTTCGTGAAGCTGCAAAGGCGAAATGCAAATATGCATCTTTGTTCATTTGCTGTCTTCAGTTACTTCCTTTAATAAAGTATTCGTGTACTTCTCATGTATTTATCTGAGTATTCTTGGATGCGTAGTTCTGATGAGTTGTTTGCCACAGAAAATCCGAAGAACTGACTCATCTTGGAGTACAAATTGCACCCCATCAGCGACACCAACTCTAACAAATCTGAGCACAAAAAAGAAACGCCAATACAGGTACGTACCTTGCATTACACTGGATGTTGCATCGTTTGTTTTGTTCATCACCTCCCATGCTAGATTTCTAACCTGCGTTACTAATTCGTCAAGCTCTTCACCTGATTTTTATTGGGAAAAGAATACGATCAAAATATGCATGACACTTTAAATCGAAATATATATTTAATGGAGTTTACTCCTGCTAATAGGAATCGTCTACAAGACAATGCTTCATTGTATTTTCATAACAGCTACCCCTTCGAATCCTGACAAAAATGTCCAAGTTTGTCCTAAAGACCAGTCACCAACTGACCAAAAAGAATGAAAGCACCTGAGCTACCAGTGTGACGGCGAATAATACTGATTAAGCATGCGAGTAGTATGTGATTTTCTCGTAACTCCGCATCGCGTCTAATGGAAGGTGGAGTTTTTTACGGAATATGTGGAACTGCTTTGCAGAGTTCGTTTACAATTGCAAGATAATCAATGAAAATTCATGAAAGTTCAGGAAGGCGCGTGAGGTTCTTAAGTTTTAAAAACAAGGTGCACCTGAGATGTTTGCTTTCTTGTCGAATAGTATAGTTGGTTCTTGCCAGTAAATAGCTTCCATCCTTACACCAGAACGCTACCTGTCATCCCTAATTTGTTGCTGCTACACGAACAGAAAGCTTCTAGTTTATTGGCACTATTTTTGTAACCGTTTATCTGAACTTGCTCGAAGACCAGTTGGATGCAGAGAAAAATGGTAAAACTACTACTCCAGCCTTGCACTGTTGTAGACGATAATTTCCGAGTAAAATCCTCATCACGATATCACGGCTTTAGCTAACCTAGCTCGACAAGAATCTGGGACGGAAACAGCTGTCCAAAAAATGAGATATGTTCGCTACTCCCCTTGCTTCGTAGTTCATCATACGAAACCTCCCCAATGCAGTTTTATGCTACGGTCAACTACTATTTTTTGTTAATTTATAGACGATCGGTTCATTAGTTTAGTGCACTCCCACCACATGAGAGTGACCAAACAAGCAAATAGCAGTAATAAGCAATTGTTACCGCTTCAAAAGTCAACTTTGTGATGCCTCGCTTGGACCCAAACAGAGCTCATAAGGAAATTCATAAGACTGGCACTTTCCAACAAATGTTAGAAGTAGTGATTAATTAGACGTATTTAGATTGGCCGCAGTTCTTATTTTACCACGCAATATTTATCGATTGTTCGTTTTTGGATGGGCCATGTGGAAGGCCCAAATGCTTTCAAAATTATTTTGAAATGTGTTTTAATAGGGTGGAGAAATTTGAACTCCAAACTTATTTTCCCCAGCTTTGACTGCGCCCGGATGTTTTATGGCTTGATTTTTGAGATCCACTTTTTTTGTTCAACTGAGATCCCACTGCTTAAGTGAAGTCGATCCATGTCTGAGAGACAAAAGCACCGTGGAGGTGTTTCACCACCAGCCGTGCATGTTTCACGAAGCTCTAGAAATATCCAAACCTGCAATTCCCTGGCCAAGCGGCAGTTCTGCAACGTGGATAACTTCTAATTAGGAAGAATATAGCGTCGTTTATTTTTCAATCACGGAGTTCACAGCATGTGATCACGGGCTGACTGGCTCCCTAAGCAAGGACTTCTCAAATGGAAGGCCCACAGGTCCTCATGAACTACTTTTCCTTCTGCTGCAATTATAAAATATGAGTGTTGGAGGTAGTGCTAGGAGTTAATTATAAGCCACTTGTAGCCGAAAGACACAGTCTTCAACTAATAAACAGGAGGTTGCAAAGCCGTATCTCCCTCGAGGTTCGTCAGATGCATGCGCGTACTGTACCTAATCAAGATGAAACAACTCCACAGTGTTTACCGGAGTGTCCAATTCTTTTGTTACTATTAAGAATTTCCTTAGCTGCTTTGGACAACACATCCCAGTTGGAGAAGACGATTGAACTGGACCCAAAATAGTTGCCCTGGCGAATCAATTTTACAATTTTTGCTAGTGCACCGTGTCAACGGTGCGAATACAAAGAGTGCTAAATGACAGGATGAAACTGAAGATACGTGCGGT